TGGTTTTCTCCTGGTCTTAAGCACCTTTTGGTATTCAGGTGTTTCCTGCTTTATCAGTGGGGCTGATTCGGGTCGGCATGCAAGAGATGCAGCAGCTCAGCGACAGGTGGAACCTGGCAGCAGCTCATCCGTCTAATTAAAACAGCATGAAACAGGCCTTCCTGGTGCTTAGTGGCGCAGCCTGCTGCCCGACCCTTCTTGGAGAAGAAGGAAGAACGCTTCCTCGCACCAGGCACCGTCCTGGCACCGGGGATACAAAGAAGAGAGACAGACTGTGATTAATGAGTGTTAGCTTTCCCCTGCTACGTCATAGTTTACAGTCTAGTTGGGGCCCACAGGCAAGCCTGTAGCCCAGCACACACCAATGTGTGACATGCGTGAACACTGGTGTGGAGAGAGTGGGCGGAGGACCACGCATGTCTTTCAGAGGAGTGGAAGGCATCTTGCCTGGCGGGGCACAGGAATGGGAACGGGTCGAGTCAAGAGGGCCAAAAGGTGGTAGAAGCAGCCTACAAGGCAGAAGCCCAGAAGGGAGTGGGAGACGGCACATTTGGGACCTGCAAATGCCCCTGAGAGCCAGGCAGGTGATACCGGCCAGCTGGAGGACAGAGCTTGTATGGCAGACAGACTGATCGACACCATCGTCCTTTCCTCTGAGACACCACCTCCACCCCACTTGTCTTTAGATACCCGTTTATGCTTTCCTGCCTTCTCTTGCCTTTGATTTCAATGCAGGTCCAGGGGGTTGATCACTAAGAAATGCAGACCTCTGAACCCAATGAACCCGGACTCAAGCTACCCGGGCGATTGGAAGGATCAGGCAGGAGAGCTCCCCTCTGTCCCAAGGCAACAGCCATTCTTCAACCCCAAATGCGCAGTGTTTTCCCATCTCACAGCTTGGGGGGTGTGGGAGGAAGTAATTCAGATACTGGGATTGCCTTTACAAAGCAGCCACACGTCAAAGCTGTGCCTGCCCACTGCGCCCTCCTGCTGGGCCAAGCTTGCGCGCGGGGTGTAAAGCCTCCCTGGTCCCCCTAGTATTTGCCGAATGGGCTCTGCTTACAGTTCCCCTTCTCCCCTTCTCTTCCAGAAAGAGATGACGAGCAGGATGTGCCACTGATGCCCCCGATTCCAACGAAGAGGGGCGCCCTTTCCTCACGGAGTCTCCTGGGGACGGGAGGCCGCCTCCCTGGCCTCTGGTGCAGGAGCAGGAGAGTGGGAGACCACCGGTGACTCCTGGGGGCCACTCCCCACCCACTGCGTGTGCGCTTAACCCTCCGAGTGCTGCTAGCCAAGACTTGTGCGCCAGGCTGACCCAACGGGAAGGGCAGACGAGGACTGTCCCCGGACCCTCCTGGCTGGAGATGTCCCAGGAGGAAGCCCTCCTGTTACCGGTCGCCAAAGCTTTCAGGGCATTCAGGTTTCGGGACTGAGAGGCTGATTGGTACTTCTCCCCGCTGTCCTTTCTGTCATTTGTTTTCTAAGGACCAGTGAATCTTGGGACTCTGGATGAAGCACCCACTGGGGTCCTGTGGTTCCGCCTGGCTACACCCCGCACTGCCAGCATAATTCCCCCAAGAGGCAGTAGTATCAGGGACCACTCCCTGGTGTGTGTGT